CTAAGGTAAGACGCCAGTCCAGTCTGTGCTGAAACGCTACTGTCAATCAAACTATCGTGGGAGGGGCCTGTTTTTGTGACGTCACACAGACAGGCATCTGAGATCGGCTCGATTTGAGAAAGGGGTAAAGATTTTAGTAGATTAAAAAAAACACTGGGTTGATTTTTATCATTATAGGGTGGTTGTGTACACACACACACTGCCCACATTTCAGTTCAAACAACTTGTAAAAGTGCATGTAGCATCCGGTGACCCCTTTAAGACATTACATTTTGTACCAATTTGTTTCTCAAATGTTGTTTAAATATGAAAAATAATGCATTAAAAATGCATTCATTTGCATACATTTCTAGAACAGAAATCTAAACACTGGATAAAGCCGTTCAAAATTCAGCAACACTTTAGTATAGGGACCACTATCGACTAGTTGCTTATAATTGGCCTATTATTAACATATTGGCTGTTTCTAAAGCACATATTCTGCATGAGCATATTCTACATCCCTAATCCTAGCCAATACCTGAACTTTACCACCTTGCTAACTATTAATAAGCAGCAAATTAGTAGTTTGAGGCAAAAGTCATTGTTAATGGTTTGTGAATAGTGAGAATTGGACCCTAAAATAAAGTGACCCAAAATTCTTGTTTCATTTTTTTTGACATATTAAAAAGTTTTTCCGAGGAGGTTTTAGATTTCTCTTTTTATTACTCTTTAATTTAGAAAATACTGTCAGCACAGAAAAAAACACATTTGAACTTGTTTTTAGGAATAAAATGTTATATAAATCAGTATGAACAAACCCCTCTGTAAAAACCTTCAATTATAGATATGAATAAAACTGTAAAGTTTGGTGTATGTAAGTTTCAAGACTCTTGAGATGCAACACTCTTATGGATTGTAATAGATACAATGTAATAAAATAAACACTTAAATGTGTATTTTGGGTGATTTCTTTCCACTAGTCTGAAAGAAGACAAGTTAAGGAAGCAAAATGGTCCAAAATCTCAAAAACTGACCAGTGCATGAAAAACAATAGTTTTGCATGTAGCATCTTGCCTTAAAAGTTAAATCTCATTGGTAAAACATAAATATTCATTAAAAAAAATTACATACACATATTTGAGATATTTACATATATTTTACTGTAGATATGATATTTTTTCCCATTTCTCCTCTAGCTTGCTTCCTAATCTAGCTGTCTAATGAATCTGGTATTATATATTATGACTAGTGTTGGCTGTTTGATGAACTGGTTTCTGCTTTATTGTCGTTTACCTGGACAGGGTCTCTTATAACACAGCTGCGTCTCCTCTGCGTCCCTCTGGATGTCTGGAGGACACGCGGGATCTTCTGTCTCCTCACACACACACTGACGGCGTCTGGAGATCACGCCTGCGCCGCAGCTGCGCGAACAGGACGACCACGGGGACCAGGGGCAAAGGTCATCTGCAGGAAACAGAGGTCAAGAAAAAAATGCATCCAAATAGTTCTAGTTAATCACATAAAAGGACATATTAGATAGACAAATGCAATCATGTTGATTGTTTTGTATTAAAAACGGGAAAATGTCTGTCTAAGTACCAAGACAAGGTGCAGCGTGACAGTTCTGGGTGTCTCTCTCAGGTCCAGTGCAGTCGGTGCCGTTGTTTCGCGGTGGAGGGTTGATACAGGCGCGGGTGCGGATCTGTTTACCCTTCCCACACGTCACGGGACAGTCTGACCACACAGACCACGAGGTCCATCCACCGTCCACTAATACAACATGAAATCATTTATGTTTATGTGGAAATAAATAAATATTCTTGGTTCCTACAAGCCCATTTGATTTCTATGACATTTCCTGTTGTTTATAATCACAGTGATTTTTAAGAATATAACAGAAATTTACTCACAGAAAGTAATTTATAGCTGATTAAACATATAATACATTTCCATGACTTTTTAAAAATGTTTGTGTTATTTTCTATTACCTTTCTAGGCCTGAAAATGTATAAATTATACATTTTATTTTAAAATTTAAATTTTATTTATATTGAAATTAAATTTATGTTAATTTATATTATTATTTATATTAAATGTATATTATATTTATGTTATTGTTAACTAAAAATTTTAAAAGACATTTTCGGTTAGTGAAATCAGGCTGAAATAAAATAAAACAAATATTAGACAATCAATTTAAATGAAAATTGAAAAATGTTGCCTTGGCAATTAAATGAAATAAAATGAGTTTAAGTACTAAAAATACTAAAACTAAAACCAAATAAAAATAAATTAAAGCTAAAATAATAATAATAATAATGACAAAAGCACTTAACAAAATTACCAAAACATAAACAAAAATTTTAATTAAAACTGACAATAAGAAAAAAAGCAGATTCAAAGTAATAGTTATGACTATAATAGTACATAAATAATACTAAAATAACACTGAGGACAATTTCTAAATGATTACATTAACTTAAAATACATGAATACATTTTATAATAATATAATTTTTTTTAAATTTATTATATAAAATAAATACAGATTATCACACACACATATGTGACCCTGGAGCACAAAAGCAGTCTTAAGTCGCTGGGGTATATTTGTAGCAATAGCCAACAATACATTGTATGGGTCAAAATTATAGATTTTTCTTTTATGCCAAAAATCATTAGGATATTAAGTAAGTATCATGTTCCATGAAGATATTTTCAAAATTTCCTACCGTAAATATATCAAAACCTAATTTTTGATTAATGGAAAGCTTATTTATTCAACTTTGAGATGGTGTATAAATCTCTATTTCAAAAAAATTGACCCTTATGACTGGTTTTGTGGTCCAGGGTCACATATATTCTATATAATAAATTAACCTAAATTAACAATTATGCATACAAATATAAATAAATGAGAGAAGCTATAATGTATTTGAACTGTAAATGTTTATAAAATTACAGGCAGAACATACACACCTCGACAGTCTATATTTTGGCAATAGTCTCCTTCAGGGATGCAGGTGCTGAAAACACACAGAAAAGATAGAGTTTTTGCTGAACTTTGTAAAATATTGAATAAACATTATCCCTTTGAAGCCACTAAAATAGTCTTTTTGAAATAGTTCCCAGTGTCTCTCACCATTGCTTACATTCCCCTTCTAACCACGTGTCTCCGACAGACAGTTCCTGCTCATCATGGACACACAGCGGGGGACACACGCCGAGGTCACATGGTTTGTGCTGGACTTCCTCGAACAGGCAGTTTGCACCGTCACCCTCAGGAACCAGAGATCTGGAAAACAGAATAACATATTCACAAAATCCTGCATTAATGGAGCCTCCACAATGAATGCTGCGTGTGAATCCCACCTGAATCGAGTCCTCTGTCCAGGGCCGCAGGTGGAGCTGCAGGAGGCCCAGGTGGACCAGGAGCTCCAGGTGCAGCTGTGCTCTCCTGCGCAGCTGTGATTAGTGCAGGTGAGCCGCCCGTCTGCGCAGCTGCAGTTGTTGCAGTCCACCTGATGTGTGCTGCCTGCGGCCCAGCTCTGACCCAACGCATCCAGACAGTCACACTGCCACGTCTGAACACACACGCCATCCTGCTGCAACTGACCTACACACACACACACACCCAAACACACACGCATGCACGCACACACACACACACACACACACACACACACACAAACACCCAAACACATACACACGCACGCACATACGCGCACGCACGCATATACACATGCACACACACACACACACACAAACACACACACACACAAGCCATTTTTCATGCAGCCTTTTTATGCATCAAATCTCAAAAACGGTACTGTATACTGGCAGAAAATAATGGTTTGGAATGACACAAATATAATTAAATTTGCAGTTTTGGGGGAATCCCTTTAACCCTCAGAACACAAAATATTAATACTCATGAAGTATTTTCAAGTCTTTAGGAAGCCATTATAATTACCACTTTGTTTAGGCATAATATGCATTTGGGTATAATTTGGAAAAATGTTGCAAAATTGCAAATGCTGGGCATTTAGGGTTACAAAAATTCACCACTATTCTTTTGATACAGAAAGTTTTAATATGTACATTTGAAAAATCAGGGCATGTAAGTTTCTTCCTGTGACTAACTGAATATGAATAAAATAAATAAAATAATATGTCAAATAATGTTTTTTCTGTTGGCTGGCGCTATTTTGTGATTCAGTGTTGTTACCTAGAACTAAAACTATTAAAAATGATTTTGGGCAATTTAAATAAATCTGAAATAAATAAAACAAATATTAGATGAAAAACTTAAGCTTAAAAAAAGTAAACAACAATTAGAAAGGTTGCCTTAGCAACTAACTGAACTAAATAAGTCTAAGTTGCACTAAAACGACTAAAACCAAAGCTGAAATAAAGCTATGTAAAAATATTTAAAATAAACAAAACCTAATAAAAACGACAATAACAAAAATGACTAAAATTGAAAACATTCCAGTTTCACATTCAAAATATGAATAATTACTACAGTATACAAATAAAGCTAAAATAACATGCAACAGTTATATACAGATTTAATTGCTTTCTAGAAACATTGCAGCCCTGTGTCTGTGTCTCACCTCGCGGGCAGCGGCAGCCCGGCTGACACTCAGTGTTTCTCTGGCACTCGATGCCCTGCTGCAGATCTGAGCAGCGCTGAGGACACTCATTAGCACACGACACAAACTCCTGTCCCGCCGGACAGCCCTCATCATCTGAAAAACACACACACACTTCATACATTCTGATCCAGCTGAACACTATAAAACCTACTCTATCATATTTGACACACGGGCTTCTAAATGATCAACATGACCCATACATCATCTACTCCATGCTTTCTGTCGTCTGAATGATAGTTTAGAGTTTTTTAGTGTAATTGTACAAACGTCCTCCTTCAGCTGGAGCTTCTCGTGTCTTTCTGCTGTCAAATCTTGACTGATTTTTCTCAAGTAAAGGTCAGAATAACTGCAGTAATATTTCCAGATGAACACTTACTGGACTGAAGCAGCTCAGCTTTACTTGATTCTCCATCAATCATTTTCTAGAAAAATCTCAAATCTGATCCTCAGGATCTTTTGAGGAGCGTTTGTTTCCAGAAGCTTTACTTTCACTGTTCCTCAGCGGAGGAATGATCTTCACAAGCCTCCAGAACATCTCACATCTTCTGAGGAGCCTTTATTTCTTCATCTCTCAATCAGCACTGGATTGCATTGCATTATATGTTTGGATCATTTCAATCTCATCTTACTGAGACATATTATTGGAGATGCGGATTGATGACTGATATTTATATGATCTTATGTAAGTATCCGCTACACTGTTATAAATATCTCACCGACTTACATTACAAGCTATCAGAATTTCATCATACTTTTTGGCCATATAAATATCATCCTCTGCATTAAATTGCATATTTTTGCTCGTTTTGAGCTTCTGAATAAAACTGAGTTTTTTTTCCTTCATAATTACACTATATAAGGCTATATGAGCCATAAAAGTCTGATGGATCAAATATGATACACAACATAAAAACATGCAAACTTGTTTTTTACATTTTGTCTATAGGTTCAATAAATTGTTCAATTTAAGTAAAAAAAAAAAAAAAAATTATATATAATTTTTTTATTTTTTTAAAAATATTCAAAACAATATATTTTTTTAAATATTCAAAACATATTATTTATGTTTAAGCATGTTCCTGGTCTCATTGTGCATGATTCATCAGTTTATTATTTTAAAAAATTGTTTCTTTCTCCACCTCTGAGACAACAACTCTTGTGGACAATCAAAAGCAATATGAACCAATAATATAATATCCTGCTTTCATGACAGTATCAAATCAAATTACGTCTTAGTGAATCTTTCAGAATGTGTTGTGATGCTATTTTAGTATTGACTAAATCATTTTTAGTGCCATGCTGCCTGTGTTATTTCACTGCTGCTGCTGGTTCAGATGTGAGCTCGTACCGCAGGGTTTGGTGTTGCAGGGTTTGACCTGGTTCTTCTCTCCTGTGCATTTGCGGCCTCCGTTTTTGGGTGGAGGACTGGAGCAGGAGCGGGTCCTGATGGAGCGTCCACCGCCGCAGGCTTTATCACAGCGGGACCAAGAGCTCCAGCGAGACCAGCCTCCGTCCACTGAACACAACACAACACTCAACACATTACTGTCTAACCACTTGTGTTTATATATCCTATATATCCTATGCTATTATGCTTCTCAGATAAGTGTCCCTCTTGTTTTAAGTTTGTTAAATATTTTTACTCAGACAACAATAATAATAAAGAAAATGTTTTGTGATGTAAAACTAACAATAAACTGCAAAAAAAAAAAGTGATCTTTAAAAAAAATATACTTAAAAATAAATAATTATACAATGTAATAATTATTCAACAAAAATAAAATTAATACATAACAACAACAATAAAAATGAACATTTCTATATTTCTTTAATAATATGAATTTTTTTGTGCAAACTTTTTACAACGTAAAACTAACCTCTGTCGGAACTGTTACCACTGTAAAGACAGAACTTCTGAATTACTATTACAAGTAAGCAGTCTAAAAACGAATATAATCAAAAAAATTCTGCATTTTTCTATCAATAACATATTTTGGGCATGTACGTGGGCAGTCGGGTGTCTGGCAGTAGGCTGTGTCCAGCAGGGGCCCGTCACAGTCTCGGCCCCCGTGAGCAGGACTGGGCTGGTTACAGGTTCTGCTGCGAGTCTTCTGACCGAGACCCCCACAGCTGAGTGAACACGGGCCCCAGGGGCCCCAAGGAGACAGGCCTCCGTCGCGGGGACACGGAACCAGAGAGCAGTTCCACAGTCCATGTTCACACGAGCTTCAGAAGAGACACAGATATATTACTGACAAATAGAATATTGAAATGAGAAGAGAATGAGAAATGAAATGTCAATGAATTTTTCTGTTACCAGGAACTGCATTCATGCATCAGCTCCTCTCCAGACAGCAGCTCGGACCCCAGTGTGATGTTCTGGAGGTCAGGGGTCAGGTCAGGGGTCGCCGACACACTTTGTAAAGAGGTCAGGAAGTCAGTGTCCACCAGACATGGACATTCCTACAAACACACACAACAGCTTCTTAAAACGATTTCACTTACTTAACTATTTTATTACCACTGCAATGCAAACTAGGTCAAGAATAAAAACCAGTACTGTCAATTGATAAATGTTTTTATTTACTAATTAATTGCAAATTTTTAATTTAATCGCAATTAATCCCACCTAATATTAAAGTTTTTAAATATACTTTTATATTGCAATAATTTCACATTAAATCTTCAAATTAATGTACAAACAACATAAAGACAGTATATGTTTAATATTTGTTTAATGGCATCTTTTTTTACCAGTATCACTGATACCAATACTACTGATGTCTCTATAAAA